TAAATATTTGGTTGGCTTCCTTGAAATCGAAAACGAGAGTGGTAAAGAGGGGGGAGTAATCTTTAAACATCGATCTTAGGATCCAAATTTTGTCGGGTTCTCACGAGATAAAATTCGAACCCCTTCAAAAGGACGCTGCTATCCTGTAAGGAGGTGACAGAGGGGGTTTGTGGGTACAATGGAACGTCCCCATAATGACGAAGATAATGAATCTTTTCAGCAAACCTTCAACATGGCATTTTCCGCCCGTAACTTTTTAATGATTTGGGTGTGTAGCTTCTTCTTTGACACCAACTCTGTGATGAAAATCCTGGATATGGCAAGAAATCACAGAGTTAAAATCTAACATAAACCACATATGTTATGTTGAAGTTGAGGTATGGCTCTGCTAGAGAGGGTAAACGTATCCAAACCTTCACGAAATTATAACTTAAGGTATAAACTCATTTTTTAATAGACGCCTTCCTCGGCATTGCCGTCCTGTTCGCTTAAGATCCCTTTGGCTCAACAGAACAACTTAGTGATACTTTCAATTCTAATCAGAGGGGTGCGCCTCTGGTCTAAGCTAGCTGGAGTACTTTATGCCACGCGGAATGTTTCAACTGAGTATCATAGAGCCATTATATTCCTTCCCGTCGTGCTCTGTTATTTATCTGTTATAACTCGTGCCACCTTTTAAATCAATCGCACACAAATGTGAACCCATTTGAAGCTTGTGCCTGGCAGTCGGTCGGTGGTCATCGGTTTTCTTTTGCTGTTTCCTTTGACAACCGTTGGACGTTGTTCGCAGTTTATGTCCTTCGTGTTCAGTCTCCACAAACCGGCCTAGAGGAGGCTAACCAATTGAACCTAACTAACAGATTTAATCTACGTTCCCATAGGTACTTTGTGACTTTTTCCTTCATTCTGTGGTACCAAGTTATACAGATTTTGGAGTTTGCCACTCGATCGAGAAGCTCTGGTTAAGGAACTTTCCCTTCAACAGAATTCAAAAGCCATTGGATTAAGTTTGCGAAGGCAAAACCAATTTGTTGATATCCAAACATTTTCTAAGCTACATTTTCAAAAAGACCATGAAACGGAAACAGGCCCCGTCAAACTTACTGATTCTCTTGTAACTCATCTTTCAAATCTTCATTTTCGATGCGAAGGAAACCTACACCCACATCCATATCTTCGCGGACCATTTCCTTCCACTGATCGAGTTCTCTTTTAAGTTTTCCGATTTCCAACAGGCACAATTTATTTTTTCTCTTTTCAGCCCCGAGGTCTTTCTTAAGCAGAGACTCATCCTGACGAGAAAAAAATTCCCGGAACAAACCTGGCGTCACTTAGGAGACTTAGCTCAACCGTTGTTGTTTTAGTTATTGTTGGTTTGTTTGTTTGTATTTTTGCTGGCTCGTTTGTGATGCGCTAACAGAGAATTTATATGTTCATACAGCTTGCATAAATGAAATCGCTGTCGCTGCTTAAACTAACTTTTTTCAGGCCTTCAGTCAACGTAAATAATCGAGTAGAGCAGCGAGTGAAGACAGACAAAGGTTGCAGTTGCTAGGGAAACCGCTGCGGACTGCAGGCTTCAGTTTCTCATTCTTCCTTTGCCGGTTACTAAAGCCCCACCAGTTGGTTTTACAGTACTAGTCTTCTTGAATCTTTACCTTTCGTTCCGTTTTCCTCCCTCACACTCCATTCGTATGATTTTCAAAGGTCAAGCATTGCTTTTTAAAGCAAACAAAGTCCTATAGCGTTAACCTTTACTTGATCGAATTAGATCAGACATCTTAATCTAGGCGAAATATGGGATGCTCACTCGGTAATCTTGCTTTTTCTTACCTGGAAAAATCGTTTCTGGGAGTCTCCGTCGTCAGATGAATATTCTTCACTCTCTGCCGTTCTTGCGAGCGTTTTCGCTTCTTTGTCTTCGGGAAAATTTTTCGGTCCAGCGTCATCATCGTTTGACAAATCATTTCCCTTTGGTAACTGATCGCCGTTCATTTTATGAACTTGACGGCTCCTGCTGAATGGCCTCAACTTGTTTTTAACTTCTTCCAACTCTTGCTTATACCTTTTATCCAAATCTTCCTTCTCTTTCTCTAGCTGATTTACTTTTTTGTTTATCAGAGCATTTTTCAGCTCTGCATTCGACAGCTGTTCTTTCATTTCAACAATTGTTCTTTCCTTCTGCTTAAGTTCCATTACAGATTCACGCAATTGTTTGTTAAAAGAACTCTCTGATTTTACAGCTTCAGAAATTTTTTCTTCCAAACGATTTTCAGCCTCCTGTCTTTGTTCTTTTAGCCTTGTAATTTCCTGCTTAGCTTTTTTCAAAACCGGGTAGAACACTTTGTTTCGAAGTTCATCGATATTATCGAACTCCTCTATGTTATCAGAAGATTGACGGCAACCCTCGATTTTTCTGCTTCCAAAATCTCCAACAAATCGAAAATTTAACTTCTGCAATTCTTCATATTCCTCAGCGGTGCAATATTTCTTCAATCCTTCTTTTATTTTCACTAAGTCTGCTTGGCTAGCTTCCTTTTCGAATTTTGTTCTCAATAGTTCATCTTTCAGCAAACGAATATCGTCGTATAGTTTCTGCTTCTCTTTCGAAACAGATGCAGCTGCTGATCTCAAAGTGATCAACTCTTTGTTGGCTTCCAGTAATCGTGATTCTAACCCTTTAGTGATTTTTTAAAAGCCGCTTATTTCAGAATCCCTTCTTTCTACAGCGCACGAATATTCACGTTTTAACCTGGCTAATTCATTGCCAATGCTTGTGCAATGTTTCTCAGAGCATTGTTTGAAGTCCAGAATGGTGTCTTTGAATTCTGCTCTGATATCCATAACGATTCTACGTACACTTTTCACAAGACAAGGGCATGCCATTTCATCACAGTCAATTCCTTGAAGAGCACTTAAAGATTCTCGAGTAAAACTCACTTTCCTTCTACCTAAAAATCTCGATTCCGTTTTCTCATCTGAAGATGAAACTTTGTTATCGTTTTTCGAGCGTTTTTTCTCAGCTTTCTGCTTTCTTGTTTCATTGCTTTCTTTCATAAGCACTTTGCTCTCCATAATTTTTGTCTCACTAGTGTTCTTATCAAAACTTTTCTGTAATTCTTCATAGTCTATTCGCACGTCTTCCATTAATTTCTGCATAGTTTCAGTTTCTTTCTTATTAATAGCTAGCTTATCCTTTATTATCTTGACTTCGTCGCTTACGGCGTCTTCTGGCAAAGAAATAGACTGAGAGCTTTGATCTCTCATCTCGCTGCGCTGTCCTTCCTCGCAGTTTGAGCTGTCTCGGTCACATGCGTAAATTTTTCTATCATCACAACACCTCTTTGACTCGTTCACAGCTTCAGCGGGCTCGCTCCCGATCGAAACTGACGGATTGTCGCTAATTTCTCCAATAAAGTCATCGTAGTCGGTTGAAATAGGTGCTTGATCCGCCTCGGTGCCATCTATATCGATTGCTGGTATATTGTCATTAACAGTGAACTCTGATAGTTGTTGTTTCTCGCTTACACAAGCGTTTTCGATCTCTGCTTTGCCTCCTGCTCTCGGATCACAGACATTCTCTGAGGTGCGCTGCTCAACCATGAAGCCTTTACCACGCGAAAGATTATCTTTAGCCGCGGAATCCATTTTGTGTTTAAGACTGGCTCTTGAAGTTACAATTAGTGATTGTGAGGTCACACAGTTGTGAAACTGTGCGCGTTCTGATTGGTCAAGTATTACGCGTGTTTAATTGATAGCCTTTCTTTACCGTAAATTTGATCGCGGGCGCCGTTCGTTCAAAAAACAAAGTATGTAAAGGAGTCAAAGTACTCGGCAAATGTGAATTCAGTATCCATTTTGTACTTGTACACAAGCGTTTCACACCTCAACTCGATCAATAAATTGTAACATCAGTCTGATTCTGTGGAAAATATCGTTATATTTGATACATAAGTTGCATTTTGTGACACTTTTTGTATGTAAAGGAGTCAAAGATCCGTACAGATGCGAATAAAATTTCCGTTCTCTGCTTGTTCACAAGTTAACAAATGGTAAACACCACAGCGTACACTATTGAGTTATGGATGGACGCGGGAGGTTGCTAAGCACGAAAGAACCATAAGAGTCGTTTGAATGTCCATTCCTCACGGATTCTCGTGTACCAACTAGTGCGACCAATTGACCATCACTCCGCGCTTAAGGCAAAAAAAAAATTCTCCTCTCAGACTGCCTGCCATCTTGCAGAGAAGTTCTGTTCTAGGCCCTCGCAAACTAAGACAGACTTGAAACCAAACTTCCCAGAGGGCTAATGAGGTGCGCACGTGCTTTTTCGATGAAAATAAAAGGAGTTTACGAGCCAAAATTTCTTTGGTGATTGATTTAAAAATTTCCTCTGTGAGAAACGCGGAAATTCGTAACTCTGAATGCAAAGTTTCAGTGCGTATTGCGGCAACGTAGAAATGGCAATGGCGTGGTGTTTTGGCTGAAGATAAACCTTTTAGCCATAGGAATATGCGCCGCCATTTTGAAGGGTGAGAAAAATGAAGGCGACCTCACTCATCACTTGATATGCGCAAACCAGTCAGATATGTCTTAAGTTGAACAATAAAATTAGTTACGGTTAAGGAACGCAGGGGTCAAACGATTGCGCCTGTGCACTTACGTGGATAATTTGTTTTGGTAAACACAGAGGAAACCAAGCTAGACCTAGTTTTCCGCAATTTGTAAGGAAAGTTCGAGGTTTCCAAGGTCAATACCTATATAAATTTTCATCTAGACTTTTTACACTTTCTGCTACTTCACACTCTCTTATTTTTTTACTTTTTTTTATTTTCCTTTTTTTTTCAATTTGCACTGTGGTGTGATGAATTCGTCCGTAAGCTTGGCCGTGCTGGCAGTAGTTATTTTGTGTGTGTGTGTGTGTGTGTGTGTGTTCATGGTGGAGTTTCCATTAAACACCGAGGGAAAGGTTTGAAATCAAAGTGGCTATGAGCCACTGAACTCGGAAGTGATTAACGACAGGCTGGGTATGGACTTTTTGTAATCATTCATAGCTCAGGGGGCCCACTTCCATAAAAAAATTGTACAATGCTTTTTTCCTGCATGTTCTGTTTTCTGCATTTTCTGTTTTTTTTCTGCATGTGATGCTTTAATGCATGTGATGCTTAAGTGTGACAGCGTGATGCTGTTAGTGAGCTTCTATGCGCTAGCTGATGTTTGGCTGTGTAGCCGCGTGATGCGGTTCCAGTCAATACCCACTAATTGACCCTTGCTCACCATAGAGTCTCCTGTAGCTCAGTGATTAGAGCATCCGACTAGATCACGGAGGGTCGTGGGTTCAAATCCCATCTGGAAACTCGATTTTTAAAAATTGTTTATTTTCATCTTTACATGCTCACTTTGGAGGCTGGTTGGCTGCATGTGATGCTTTAATGCATGTGATGCTTTAATGTGACAGCGTGATGCTGTTAGTGAGCTTCTATGCGCTAGCTGATGTTTGGCTGTGTAGCCGCGTGATGCGGTTCCAGTCAATACCCACTAATTGACCCTTGCTCACCATAGAGTCTCCTGTAGCTCAGTGGTTAGAGCATCCGACTAGATCACGGAGGGTCGTGGGTTCAAATCCCATCTGGAAACTCGATTTTTAAAAATTGTTTATTTTCATCTTTACATGCTCACTTTGGAGGCTGGTTGGCTGCATGTGATGCTTTAATACACTTGATGCTTTAGTGTGACAGCGTGATGCTGTTAGTGAGCTTCTATGCGCTAGCTGATGTTTGGCTGTGTAGCCGCGTGATGCGGTTCCAGTCAATACCCACTAATTGACCCTTGCTCACCATAGAGTCTCCTGTAGCTCAGTGGTTAGAGCATCCGACTAGATCACGGAGGGTCGTGGGTTCAAATCCCATCTGGAAACTCGATTTTTAAAAATTGTTTATTTTCATCTTTACA